TGTCGCCCATCATATTTCTCGGTCCTCCTCCTCCTCCTCCATCCATCCTCCTCCATCCTCCTCCAGCTCTACCTTGAACTTTCGTAGGCCTTCGCGGAGCTTAGAGAAATTGACAGTGTTGGAGTCGTCGATGTCGAGAGCCTGGAGAAGCTTAGCAACTGAAGTTGAGGAAGAGACGACGAGGAATGAGCGAGGGGATGAAAACGAGGAGGATGCGTCGGAAGATGGTGAAGGAGAAAGAGCAATCAGATGGAAGGAGGCAGAGAAGGGAAGCAAAAGAGGATAGAGGTAAAGGAAGAGAAGACAGCGATTGTGCCTTGTTAGCAGCACCACCATCACCATCACCACCATCACCACCATCACCACCATCACCACCATCACCACCATCACCATCATCATCACCCCCAAATCAGGAGGAGGAGGGAGGGAGGAAGGCATCCTACTTGAAAGAGAGAGACGATGCGATCTGAGAGATCTCTTGAAGTCTCGAAGTGGATGAACGACGAGAGCAGAGGGTCCAAGACGTGCGACACCTGCAACGAGGCTGAGAGGAGGAGGAGGAGGGGTAGGAAGGGCAGGAGCAGGAGCAGGAGCAGGAGCAGGAGCAGGAGCAGGAGCAGGAGCAGGAGCAGGAGCAGGAGCAGGAGCAGGAGCAGGAGCAGGAGCAGGAGACCTTCTGGTTGTTCTTCTCAGCCTTGATTTGCATGATTCTTTCTTTCTCTCGGTCGGCAGCGGCGGTGAAGTTGTCCAGCAGGACAGCCACGACCACCTGAGAAAATGAACCACGAGTCGTCAACCAGGGCGGATGACACCCCCGTGTCAAATTTGAAGTTTGACAAGGCGAAGGGGCTCAAAACAACAGGGAAAAAGATGTCAAACTTGGATGGAACCCCCGCACCTGCAAGAGCGTCCAGCCGACGATGACAATGAAAGAGACGAAGAAGACTGCAGGCATGCCTTTCATCTTGGCCTGCGCAGGATCGACTAGAGGGTCAAAGATCAACGGCCGGGCGATCGAAGACGCCCAACTGTCCCCTGCCATCAAGTCACTTGCCCCACCCTCTCCTCCTCCTCTCTCCCTCGCTTCACCTCCTTCTCTTAATTCCTTTCCCTTCTTTTCCCTTCTCCCCTCTCATCCTGTCCTATCCTCTCCTCCTCTCCTAACTCCTCCTGTCCTCTTCCCTCCTCCCCATCGCTCACCAGTACAGACTTGGAACATTGTCAGCAGCGCCGCAGTGAAAGTCCCAAAGTATTCTGGACTTGTACTCCCGAAGAAATTAACGGCCTGTCATATGGATCACCTGGAACATGCCATGACAACACCTGGCGCACACCAAGATCGCATAGATGGAAGTTATCAACAACATGATCAGGAACGCGTTGAGAACAGGGACGATGGAGGAGCACAGGGAGTTAATGATCTGAAATCACATCGAGACGTCAGTACAGGCAACTCGCTTCCTGGTGGGCTCACGAGGCGAAGAGAAGCTAGTCTTCCGAAGAGGCGCATCACTCGGAAAGCCCTGGAGATAAACTTGAGATGAGGATTATGTGGTGTTGGAGGGGATTGTTGGATGACGATGAAAAAGGAGAACGTGTAGTCAAAGGAAGATGAGGCACGGAGGGGATAAGAGAAGGAAAACAACGATGAGGAAGAGGAGGAGCGGGAGGAGGAGGAGCGGGAGGAGGAGGAGCGGGAGGAGCGGGAGGAGGAGGAGAACGGAGAGTGGCTTGTGTTGGCGGTGGTTGTATAGTAAGTCACTCACCTCATCAATCGTAAAACATTCACTCCCGGTAGCTCGCTGAGCACGAGGGCCAAGAGTGAAACGGTGACGACAACCTGTCATACTGAAATGAGACCAGGAGCGAGAACGATCGACAAGTACCAGGTCAAACATGCTCCAGCCGTCTTGAACAAAGGGCCAGAACCAAGAAGCGAGCAGGTTAAGGCACAGCTCGATCGTGAACAAGATCTGTTCAAACAAGAATGAGCAGAACAAGTCAGGGGAAAGGTTGAGCAAGCAAAGATGAGAGTGTAGTGAGGATTTGACACAAACCGTGAAGATGAGATCGAGCGTCGAGAAATTCTTGGCGACCTGAGTTCCTTCCGCTTTGAAACGAGATCATGTCGTTTAATACTCATCACAGCAGGTGAATTAACCTGGTTTGATCTCTGACTCGATTGCATTGGCGATAAAGTTTGCAAAGATCAAGACTGCAACAAACCCCTGCGAGAAACGTTTACAAACATGTTGAAGTGAGCATTCTTTCAGGCTCTGAGATATCGACACAAGTGTGTAACTCTTTCATCTCGCCTACAGATCATTTCGATCGCACCATCAGTCAAGCATATTTTGCTTCTAGAATAACATCATCGCGTGTATGTTCCTCACCCTGCTCATCTACCAGCATACCATTCAAGATTTGTATTCATCATCAGCATCAGTACCAAGGAGCGTTGTTCTCAATTCTCAATGATCAACATAATTCCGACCTCACTTGTATCGTCTCCGTCTCCATCTCTATCTCATTTCGTTCGTAGCAGCACGTTTACAACACGATATTCTCACCTGAACTGCATTTGACGAGTAAAACGCTGCGACTTTCGCTTGAAACCTTTGGAATCTACACCAAGTCTCAACTGCCGCATTCAAGTCAAATCGTAGGACTCTCACGCTGTGCTCCCTGCGCGTGCCCGCTCTCTCTTTTGCTCCTTACAGAGCCTGGAGGCGAATCTAAGTCAACCCCATACCTCACATCAGGACAAGGATTACTTGATAAGAAGCTGCGTGAATATCGCCCTCTCCCCCTCGTTTATAAAGCTGATCACGACAACTTTAGTTCTTTCGTCCTCTCAATCCTCTCCATCCTCTCCCTCTCTCCTCCCTTCCTTCCTCCCTCCCTCCCTCCCTCCCTCCCTCCCATACTTCACCGGAACGTGAAGGTCCTCCCGGAGTTGAACCCATCCTTCTCGGTGTTGATATCATATATGGCTCCGGGAGAATCTTCGTTGAGCAGGTCCATGCGAGAGTCCTGAGCAGAGGTAGAGCTGCGCTCGCCATTCTGAATGAACGCATGTGAGCACGAGGAGGGAAAAACCAAGCCGAATGAAGAGAGGGAGACAGAAAGGGACAGGGACAGGGACAGCTCTGGTGCCAAATCACAAGACTGAAGGAGTATTATGATGGCTGTGATTGTAAGAGAAAGAGAGACTGATTGTGCAAATAATGAGGAAGAATGAAGAGGAAGAGGAGCAGATGGAGGATCACTTGGGGAGGAAGGGGGGGGGGGTGGAGATAGCGGAGAGCAGGAGCAGGAGGAGCAGGAGGAGCAGGAGGAGGAGCAGGAGCAGGAGGGCAGTGATGATGATAAGAGACATGTCTTGAGTCAAGAAACGGTCTCCACTCACCAGGGCAATCTCAGCAAGAGGGATGAACTCTTTCACGTGGGCGTCGTTCTCACGGCAGAACATCTGGCGCAGCATCAGAGTCTTTTCCCTCCTCTCCTCGTCATGCTGTACCATCTTGTCTCTGGTCAATATCACTCGTCGCTTCTGAAACCTCCTCTCTGCGCTCATCTTCTCCAGAACCTGCGCGTGCATGCGCCGGTCAAAATCCCCCAGAGAAGACACCACCTGTCACCTCGTCGTAAAGGATGCCTTCGATATCTGCGATGCGAAAGTTCGTTTCTAACAGCATCTTCTGCGTTGCTGTCGCCTCGAGCGCTTCTAAAGATTCTTGTGCCCCTGCCTTTGCTTGCTTCACATGCATTCTCCTCATGACAAACGCCATGGTTGCTCGTCTTTCCTATGCTGATTGTCCTTCCCCCTCAACTTCCTCAACTTGTCCAATGCGAGGAACAAGGATCACGGGCTTCTGAAAAAAATGATACAAATCCTGTCTAGATTGAGATATGCAGCTTTGCTTCCCAGACCATCAGTAAGTCTTCAAAGAAACAGTTCGCCATTCTTGGGTTGCTGTCCACCTACGTATGCGCGTTAATGATCGCGTTGAAAATTATCATCTATGCTTCTTGATCTGCAATCTCATCCCTTTGATCACGTGCCTGCTCCAACCACAGCAAACGTTCTGCCCCTCCCTCCCCTCCCCTCCCCTCCCCTCCCTCCCTCCCTCAAATACTCAACTCGCTCACCTCCCCCCTCCCTCTCTTTGCCCCTCCATCCCTTCCTCCTTCCCTCCCCTCTCTCTCCCCCTCCTTCCCTCTCCCTCTCTCCCTCTCTCCCTCCCTCCCTCCCTCCCCCTCCGTCATGCTCCTCTGTGGATGCCGCGTACGAAAGCAGCATCCATGCCGGAATAAAAAAGAAATCAATTTAAATATATCTATATTTGTACCAAGGTTTGTTTCGAGCGTGTCCAGCCAGATTTTTGTTCACTAATTTTAACTTTCTTTATTACTGTTCAAAATATTTTCAACATTTTGGTGATGTAAACTTGGTAGTAATCGATTGCCTGGTAGCGGAACAAATGTAAAGTTGGCGAGATGTCTCGGTTTAAAATATTTTTCCTCTCTTCTTTTAGATTTTAAATGAGATCTAAAATATTTTGAAAAAGTTGACGATGGGAAAAAAAATATTGACAAGAGCGGCAGGAAAAAAAAGGCCAGAGAGAGAGAAAATGATGAACCTGATACAACAAGATCCATATTCTCCTCCTACTCCTACTACTACTGCTCCTGCTCCTGCTCCTGCTCCTGCTCCTCCTGCTCCTCCTCCTTCTGCTCCTCCTACTGCTTCTCCACTTACTACTACTACTGCTGCTTCTCCTCTTCCTCCTACTGCTTCTCCTCCTCCTCCTCTTCCTACTCCCACTCCTCTTCTTCAATTTCACATCCTCCTCCTTCTCCGCCTTTTGCCACTCCCTCCCTTTCTTCCACTCCTTCCACTCCTTCCACTCCTCCTCCCCCACTCCTTCTCCTCCTTCTGCTCCTCTTCCTACTCTTGCGAATTTGCTTCCGCTACGACGCTTCCCACATCTGCTTTCGATCCTTCTACTCCCTGCACCATCATTATTGCTATTTCCCCTTCGTTTTCTCTTTGTACTTCCTGCCTGTACTCCGCCTTCCGATACGTGTCTGCCATTCTTGCTTCAATCCCTTTCATTCTCGAGCACACCATTCTTGTGCTTTCTGCGAATGAATCTTGACGATTTGTTGACTTCTCTGTTTTGATTTGCTCAACAACTTCCTTTGTCGATCACTCACAGAGCAGGCGTATCTTCACACATTCTCAACCTTTCACTCCACTTCTTTGACTGTTGTTCTCAATTCCACATCTTCCTTTCATTCCCTTCCCCCACTTTTACTCCCCTCACGCCCAGTCTCTGCCATTCACACATTCCCCGCCCATCTGCCCTGACCTAAACTTCCTCCCCTCCCTGTAGAATTTTCGTCCCTTTCCAGCCCAGTGCGGGTAGTCTACAGGCGATATCTGATAAGTTCATTTTCTCAGCTCTTCTCCTCGCTCCGACGATGGAGGGGGTCCACCTGGTGCACATCGAGATGAGGGAGCTGGGCTCAGCTGCAAGGCAGCAGCTGGACACTTCCAAGGCATCCACTGTCAGCACGAAGAGAGCACTTCGTGCGGAGCAGAGAGGAGGAGAAGAGGATGTGAAGGTGAGGACGCTAACTCCGAATATCTTGAGGGTCTCCTGGAGTCGTGGAGCAGCAGCTGCGCAGGACCGATCCCCACCTCTGGCCTCTCCTCAACACAGTCCAGGACAAACGGTGAGGAGGTCGACGAGGAGGAGAAAAGAAGAGGAGGAGAGAGACGAGGCTCCGTACTGGAAGTCAAGCCTGTTCGAGTACAGGGACGTGAGGAAAAGCAACACACTGCTGATGCAAAAGTTGTTCGACAACAGGCAGCAGCACCTGGAAGACAGCAGGAACAGAGTTGAGGTATTTCCAGACATCAAGGCAGACTCCTTCTCGATCGCCCAGGGGTCGGCGGATCAGAGGCTGGGCTCGAGCTTCCTTTCTGTCAGCTTCGAGAGCCCTGCCGAGAGTCAAAGCAGAGGGTTGTCGCCGATGAGTGAAAACATGTCAAGGTAGGGAAGAGCAGGGGTAAGAGGATATGGAAGGAAAAAGAGCAGCAGGGGAAGCGGGGAGGGAAGGGGGGAGCGAGGAGAGAGGAGGGGGAAGGGACAGAGTGAGGGAGAGAGGAAGAGAGAACAGAGGTAGGGAGGTGGAGGGGGGAAGGAATAGAGAAGGAAAGGGGGGGCGAAGGGAGGGAGGTACTGAGAACTCGATCTTTGTAGGGGGTTGAACTCTGCCAATGCATCTCCTGCGCGATATTTCCACCCTCATTCTCAGACGTACCCCAAGAGAGAAGGGAGGAGGACGATTATCAGAGACGAGCATCCTGCAACGAAGGATAGCTCAGAGGCGGAAGAAGTGTACTTGAAGCAGATGGAGAATTTGTCGAGGACGATGGTCCGATCTGCTGACGATGTTTCACTTCCTAGAAAGGTAACCCCACCCGCCATGCCTTCCTCCATCTTGTTTATTGGCACATGTTGTCTATGGTTGCTGATGATCGTTTTCATCCTCCGTCATTCTCATCCCCTAAGACTCGACTCTCTGTCCCTCTCCCTCCTTCCATTCCCCATTTCCTTCCGAACGCCCCCCGCCCCCCGCCCCCTTTCGCCCTCCCTCACTCCTTCTCAACCCTTTTACTCTCCTTGTCGTTTATTCCCACTGCAACTTTCTCGTTCTCTTCTCCCTCCTCCTCTCCTCTCGTTCTGCTGTGACTTATTCTTTGCGACATCGTACCGCTCCTCAAACTCTGAACTTGCCCCTCACTCCCTACATGAGGTCCCTCAGAGCTGAAACTTGCTGCAGGATCCCTTGTTTCCCCGTCCTCTCCCACCTCGATGCCGGGTAAGCGCGTCTAAGAAGTCGATCGAGGATCAGCTGGCAAGGACGGGGAGAACCTCGCTCGTCGCTTCGCCGCGGGAAGAGAACGGGGAGGAGAGGCGAGACGGGGAGCAGCTGGCAGGCCTGAGGATCGATGCTGATCACGGGGTCCGATCTCTGCTGGACTCCTCCTGGTCCCGGGGCTCGTCCAGGACGATTGACAGCAGACAGTTCGTCTCCTCCATCCAGGAGATGCCCTGGATGACTGACGGGCGGGGGGAGAAGCTGCGGCTCAAGGAGAAGAAGAGGATAACGAGGTCCTCGACCCCTGACACCCTCCTGGCAGCTCAGAGGACGCGGCCTGACGTCCACTACTTCGACATCTACACCAAGGACCACGCAAGGCAGCACAAGCACATGATCCGGCTTGTGGAGTCCATCCAGAGGAACGTGAGGAAGGAGAAGAAAAAGAGGAGGAGCGCGAGCCCGACCTCCTCGGACGAGGATGCGAAACACACGACGACGATGGAGCGAGGCAGCTCGGAGCAGGAGCACGCGTCTCCTCCCGGTGCTCAGAGGTCACAGAAGCTGCTGCCTGTGCAACAGGTCATCGAGACGTTTCCTCTCGTAGCTCCTCAACTCGGGTAAGATCTTCAGCTCACTCACCTGCAGGCCAAGTCGGGCGACATGCAGGAGGCGACAGCCGTACTGGTGGAGCAAGTGAACCAGTCCCTCCACCGGGTCATCCTCAAGGTACCCCCCAGCCTCGCACAACAGCACAAGGTATCTGGTCCTTCTCTCCTCCCCTCCCTCCCCCTCTCCTCCCCCTTTCTCGGCCCTCCCCCGCCACTCTCTTACCTTCTCCTACGCTCTTATACCCTACCATCCTCTACAAATTTTCCTTGATCCCCTCCTCTCTTACGCTCTGCTTGCCTCTCCTTCTCTTCCATTTCCGCCTGCTCCTTTCTTCACTTCCCCTCCACCTCGTTTCAGCCCTGTCGCACTCACCAGTACGCTCTGCCTGCTTCCTCTTGCTGTCAGCCCCTCCTCTCGTCTCTGTTTCTTCCTCTTCCTCCACCTCCTTGTTTGAAAGGAGTCTCAGGCCCCGGGCCAGCATGTGAAGCTTCAGATGAGGAGGGAGGTAGAGGAGGACCGGGAAACAATCTTTCTCGCCATTGCCAGCTCCCCTGCAGCCTCTGCTGACTCCTTTGAGTTCCTCGTCTCGACTGCCAACAAGCACGAGATGTCAACCTCCGCGCTGCTGTCAAAGGCACAGCAGGTAACGCCCTACCTCGCCCTCCTCATCCTCATCTTCCTCCTCCTCCTCCTCCTCCCTCCCTCCCTCCCCCTTCTCCTTCCATCCTAAGCACCTGCCTTCTCCTTTACGTCCTGATGCCGTCATCAACCTGCCTCTTCTTCCTCTTCTTCCTCTTCCTTTTCTCTTCCTCCTCTTCCTCTTCCTCTTCCTCTCACTTTTCTCCTCCCCTCTCTCCTCGGTTATGCTCAGCGTCCCACGCAGGGTACCAATTGCTGGATCTCGTCGCCACTGGGAGAAGGGTTCAATGTGACAGGGCATGGAGAAGAAGCGATGGCAGTAAACCATTGTCAGGTGGAGGAAATGCTTGACAAGTCTTCGACACTTTGTTTCTTTGCCTCCGGGTGAGTCTAGGATATCCGTGATACTTCCCTTCTCGTCATTTCTCTCCTCCTCTCATTCGTGGTATCTTTTTCCTCTCACTGCTCTTGTTCTTCTCCGCTTACTACTCTTGTTTTTCTCCTCCTCTCACTACTCTTGTTCTTCTCTCACCTTGCTACACCTTCAGGGCAGGCATCGCTCCTATCAAATCCTGTATAGAAAGTTGCTCCTGGACCTCTTGTAGCCCCAAAATTTTCTTCAGCGTAACAGGACAAGGTGAGAAGTAGCAGACCTTGCAAATGTCAAACGTGATATCATACTCTGAGATCTGACATCATACTCTGACATACCCTCCCACAGCAAGCGAGACGTTGCAGGGATGGATGAGGAGGTGGGAAGAGAGCGGCGTCGTCATCCGACTTCCCTCTAAGGACAGAGGGACAAGACTGGAGGTAAAGTTGCTGACATCCCTTCTCTTGCTCCTCCCCATACATCTTTAAGTTGCTCCTCCTCCTCCTGACCTCCTTTGACGATGCTGCTCCTGCTCCTGCTGCTCATATCCTTTGAATTGTCAGGACTTCTGTGTCCCAGAGGAGCTCGCAGAACCCGCGCGCACAGTAGCGGTCCTCTGTGGGAACACAGAGATGTGTCTTACGGTTCTCTCGCTCGTGCTCCCTCCCGGCTATTGCTGATCAGTTGTTAAGGTCAAAGATCGGCTGCTCCTCCTCGGAGTGCTCCAAGACAACATCAAGATCTTGTGACATCACAGCAGAGCTCATGACGAGAGGAGACGAGCAGAGGAGAAAGTGTGAGAGAAGAGATGAGGAGAGGAGAGGAGAGAAAAGAGGAGAGGAGAGGAGAAAAAAGAGGAGAGAAGAGGGGAGGGGAGGGGAGGGGAGGAGAGGAGAGGAGTTGGGAAAGCAGAGCAGAGCAGAGCAGAGCAGAATAGCGGTCAAAAGCTAAAACCGTTCATCACATGCCAGTGCTCACTTAGAGGAACTTTGTTGCCCGGCCACCATGTCTGTCAACCATTTATTTGTTTTTAATGTACACGTCAAACCCCGATGTTCTCCTGAGTTGCCAGTAGAACCTCAACATCCTGCCACTGCGACATCTCCATCATCTCAACATCTCCATCATCTCATCATCTCTATCATCTCATCATCTCCATCATCTCATCATCTCCATCATCTCAACATCTCCATCATCTCAACATCTCCATCATCTCAACATCTCCATCATCTCATCATCTCCATCATCTCATCATCTCCATCATCTCATCATCTCAATCATCTCAACATCTCCATCATCTCATCATCTACCACTACTAGCTACAAGTAGTAGCTAGTCACTTCATTCCCGGGCGCCCGGCCATCATGACCGACGGTGAGTAAAACTTCAAGTACTTCGGAGCCCACCCGCCCTCATCCCCTATCAGCCCGGCGGTTGTGCGATAGGGCCGCCATGGCAGGGATGAAGGGAGCGGCAAAGGGTATGACAGGCGATGGAGGCGCATGGGAGACCCGAGGAGGAGGAGGAAGAGGGGGAGCGTCGGAGGAGAGGTAAACGTCTGAGGGCTCGTCGAAGGAGCTACAAGGAGCAAGCTGAGAGTGGAGCAAGGAAGGAGGGAAGGAGGGAGAGATAGAAAAGCAGAAAAGAAGGAGGAAGAGGAGACGGCAGGAGACAAGTGCATCAAATCGTGTTACAAGAGCTCAGGGCTCATTCTTGCAAGTCAGTCCTTCCTGGAGCAACCGTCACTTCACTTTGAGCGCAACATGGTGGCAAGTTGCACAACAGCGCAAGAGAATTGCGGCATGGATGCTTTGCTGCTGTACATCGTCGCCTTCATTGTTCTTCTCTTCATGTGCTGCCATGAGAAATGTCAGGTAAACGATCCAGGTCAATCGATTCGCGAATAGCGCAACCATGCCAGCAACGCAAGAGGCCTGACAGATGAAAGGAATCCGCGAATGACGAACGACGATGGCATGAATGTGGAAGAACACGTTGGATGAATAAAGATGAAGTGTTTTGTTTCAAAAACAAGAAGAACAATGAAAACGCTATGATGAGGACTAGTTGAGAACGCAGCTCTCATATGTAGGAATCATGTACTTGATGTTGATGAAAGCATCTTCGCCTCCATGCCTGGCGTGCATGTCAGTTGAGCTAAGTTCGAGATGAGAAGGACACTATCACGTCTCAAGCAGTTCCAGCGTCTCTTGTATGAGATCTCCGAGGATCATCCTTTTCCGCTGGTTGTATACTATACAGTCACCAACCTGCACAGCTCTCGATCAGGTGCCGTCGGGTGCTACATAGCACTCACATTCACATTTCTGTTCTTGAAGATGTTAAGAACGGGGAGGATCTGACGATAGTATGGCACCAGCGCCTCTCCTATCATCTCTCCCGACACCACGAGCTGCTGTAAAACCTTCAACACGATGACAATTACTCCTGGCTCCCGCGTGTTCAAGGCGGTCTTGATGGGGATGATGAGTTGAGGGATGACAGGTAAGATCTTTGTGCCTCCGTGCTTGGTTGCCAACGACATCAGCCTCTGAGGAACATGGAGCATTCAAACTTACCTCAAGCATGTCAAACGTGCCCTGCACGGCCAAGAAACGATAAGGCTCTTCTTTTTCTCGAAGGCCATCAAAGAAGATCGGGAGGTAGTGATGATAATCAAGCTTTTCTATGTCGATCTTCCACCTGAACAACACTACTTCAACGCTTGCATCAAGGTCAGTGCAATCTTACTGGATTCGATTTCCAACCCCCCGGTGTTCTATAGCGATGGGCAGGTCTCCTCTCTCGTAGAATCGTCGGAACTCTGAGTTTGGAGGATTATCTCTCACTTTGAAAGCGCCCGAGATCTGCGAGGAAGAGCGTGAGACTAGAAACAGAGACAAAATCCTGCTGGAGGCCTACTGGAGGGGTGATAGGCTTCAGCTCTTTCTTGCCGATGGCCAGGCTAGTGCAGGCTCCCCCCGGTGAGTCCTGGGAGCAGAAGGTCAACGGAGAGCGTCACCAGCTCGAGAGATCAGCACCTCATGGACGGGACTCCGCGCCTTCTGGTAGCTGTCTGGTCCGTTCACTTTGGTGGTGAAGGAGAACTTGGCAGTGGCGTTGTTGTAGTGAGGATCGACCGACGGGTCTGGGACCTGCGCAAGCGCAAGGATCAAGGTTGGAGGATGGGAGAAGGCATTTTCCCACCCGTGCTGGGCCATGCCCTCCTGCTCGCTTTGTCGGATTGATCTGCGATTGAAAGATGACTGCATGCTCATCTCAACGGCGGGGCAAACCGGCTTGGTTTTATCAAAGCAGCTCAACGTTTCCCTGTGACCATTCTTCCCACGCTTGAAAACATAATTCCCTGCAAGATGAGACTGAACATAGTCTTCGACCATGGTCTCATTCGCAATGTTCCTGCCATCCCCCAGGCTCAGTTGACTCGCATCGCATCCCACGGTCATGCTGACCCGTTGTTGAAAGTCGGGAAAGACATCCTCTAGCGCTCAATGGTCCAGGACGGTCTTACAAACAGCCTTCAGAATCTGAAGGAAACCATCTCAGAGAGGGTCTGATACAAGGAGATGACTTGGCTTGCACTAAATCACCACCCTCATCCACTTGCACGGAGACTCAGGTACTAACGGAAGTGTTCCACCTCGCACGCCTACCTACTGTTTAACACATCTGTGACCTCTTGATACCAACATCATGGTAACTCTGGAATAGAATCACTTAAAAACAGATGTATTCCGACACAGCTGCACTGTTCCAGGTAAACCACACTCCATCAATGAAGCGTTCAGTCGGTCCCTGAGCCAAGTGGAGGCAGGGAGCCAAGGAACATCTATCAAGGATCTCAATGAATGAGAAAGCATGTCAAGTAAGCGGGGAAGGGAGAGAACAGACAGCATATCATCTACTTCTGATGAACTTCTCGGCAGGGTGGAGGGGCGGGGGTTCCTGCATGGCTCAGCGGGTGAACGAAGAAGGGAGGGGGTAGGGTGGTTGAATGAGGTTGTTAGAGGGTAGTGCCTGGAGGACCTACCTCCCGGAAGTGGCTAAAGAGAGGTCAAAGGGTGGGGGTTGTGAGCCAAATCAGTGGGTGGGGTAGCAAACTTGCCTATATGTTTGTAGCCCTTCGCACCGTGACTGGGGTACAGATGTAGGCAGATTTCAATTAGAAGGGTAATCGAGAAATCGTAGGGGGTATACTCACGCCATTGGTTTGTCCAGGCCAAGCCAAGATCGAATGCATCTCATCCCGCAACGACCGGGTCCATTTCGCTGCTTATGGGGCAGACCCTGGGGGTCAGTTGCCAAGGTCAGTTCAGGCCTGAGGGACCCAAGGCCGGAGTGGTGTACCCGGGGGGTAGCCTGTTACCAGCCTGGGGGTCCGATATCCGCATGAAGATCGGACACTATCATGGGGTGGGGGTAGGCCCGAACACCCAACTTGCCTAGCAGGGGTGGGGGTGGACACGGCAGTTGGAAACTTGCGTTATTAACCGGGATCAACGGCCGATTAGTCGGTAGTAGTTGCCGCCAGTGCCCGGGGACTTCGGAACTTCGGAACTTCCGGGAGTTCCGAGAAGCCGGTGCGGCCCCGCCCCGCCGCTCCGCTCAGTGCCGCCCGGCCGGGCCTCGGGCCGGGCCCGGCGGCCCGGCGGCCGCGGCGCCTCGTACTGCACGGTCGCGCCCGTTGAGGCGGGCACGGTCCCCGGAACTTAGTTCCGAACTCGGAAGTTCCCGCCCAGTGACCGTCGGCCCGGGCCCGGACCGGTCACCGGGTGCCAGAACTTTCCGAAGTTCATCATTGATGCGGCTAAATATCCGGGCGGCCGCGGCGGCCCGGCGATGATGCCGCCGCCCGAACCGGGCCGGCCGTATGAACTTCAGGGCAGTCGGACTGCCAACTTGAAGTTTCAAGCCAGCCACAGTTTGGCTGGGCCCGGCGGCCCGGGCGGCACGGTGCCGTCCGACTGTCCGATCCGATCACAACTGGGACTCTGAGTCGGCCCAGGCTCGGACCTCCGACGACTGCTGAGAGTCACGGGAGTCGGCGCCGAGTCACTGATCGGATTGAATTAGTCACTGGTCGGCGACTGTCGGGGGACCCGGTTGAAGGCCCTTGGCGGCACTGAGACTCACCCCGGTCCGATGAGGGCCAGCCCGGCGGCCGGCGGGTACAACCGGGTACCGTACGGTCGGTCAGTCCGACTGGCACTGCTGCCCGGGCCGCCGCACGGCGGCGGCCAACCATTACCGTACGGAACGGTACGCCGCCCCAGAATCAGAATCCGATGATCATCGCGGCGGCCGCGCAGTACCCGGGACGGTCCGACGGTCCGTCCGTCACCCGGTACGGAATCAGGGCGGCTCACTCGGAGAGTCAGGCTCGGTGAACCGTCCGATCCGACCATCGGTCGGATCGGCCCCGTGACGGTCACTCTCAGTCTGCCAGGCCGCGCTGCTCAGTCGCCGGGAGCCTGAGAGTCTGACCGCACTGCAGTGACCCGCCGTACTACACTACTCGGACCGTACTCAGTGCCGCGGCGGCTCGGATCGGACCGTGCCAGCGGCCCCGAGGCCCGGCCCCGGGCCGCTGCCGCTCGCCCTGGCCCGGCCGGGCGTCGCCGAGTCGGGCCGCGTCAGTGACCGTCGCCGGGCTCGCCGCGGACTCGCCGGACCGTCCGGTCCGACGACGTGACGGCACATCAAGTTAGTTTTAGTAACTTCGGTTACTCACTGCCAGTCGTCGCGTCAATTTACTGAGAGACTCTCGAGTCACGCCCGGGTCAGTCGGAGGGTAATAAAAGCCGGACTGAGCCTAAATTGACTGGCACCGACTATCAATTTACTCAGTCCGGCTTTTATTAGGCACCGACTATCAATTTACTCAGTCCGGCTTTTATTACCCTCCGACTGACCCGGGCGTGACTCTCTCTCAGTCTAAAAGTGCTTTACTAAGTTACCATTCCCTTCCTGTAAACTGAGTTTCACTGAAGTTTACGGGCCCGCATAGGAGGCCGAAACTTTACCAGGGGTCCCATAAGAGGCCGAAGTAGTGTGACCCGCCGGATCCCTCCGAAGCCGCGTCAGCGGAAGTTGGGGATCGGTCACCCAAGACAGTGCCTTTAATCTTTTTCAGTCAATAAAGGAATACAGGAAGGTGCGCCACAAGCTCTCCTGCAGGAACAAGAGCAGGCTCAGCCTCCAGGACAAGATGGACATCGTGTCGCTCTTCGATGCCGTCGTATCCGCTTTAGCACAAAACACATGATCTTTTAACATTACTTGACATAATATAGTGTATGTTGCCTGATACTGATATAATGCGTGGGAGCACGGCAACTACAACGGCCTCTACCTCAACGACACAGAGATTGATGAAATGCTGAAAAAGGGATCATCAAACAAAGAGCTCCATCGCCAAGATGCAAGTTCGAAGCAGGTAGAAAGCTGGTGATGAGGCAAAATCTTCAATCATTGTATTGTATGCTCGGCGAAGTTGAGCAAATCATGAATGTTGATAGATAAATTATGTCGCATAATGATTTCCTTGATTTCCTTTATCTCTGATTTCCTTGGACTTACAGCTCGGCCACACACAAGCTGTATAGATGCGATGAAGCAAATTCATTGTCAAACAAAGCTAGAGACGGCTGATGACTGCTGAAACTTTTTTTGTGTCGTGAGATGCTTGGCACAAGTAGAATTGCGTGAACATCTTGATTCACCTCTAGTCTCACCCATTCTATACCAGCATTTTATAAAATCAACAAACACGAGCAATTTACTGAATCACTTAGTTTCTCACTCCTCACTACTTGTATTACAAACACGCGTATACATGTACACGCTCTCCTTCCCTCTACTCGCTCATCCTCTTCGCTTCCTCCTCCTCCCTACTCGCCCTACAGCCCCTCACTCTCATCTACATTCCCCCATGTAGCCCTACAAATCGCTCCTCCCGCTGTCGCAAAGCTCATACGCCTCCGTGTAAGCCCGTGTAGTAGACTCCTCCGCCCCCTCCTCCTTCTTCACCCTTGGCATCTCCGCCTCCCGCAAGGCCTCAGCCTCCGACCATCGCTCTCTCCCCATGACCCCAGCAGGCAGCCCCTGCCCGGCCATGACCACCTTGCGGAGCAAGGCCTCAACCTGCTTCGACTTGAGGACCTTGCAGATGGCGGAGCGGCTCTTCCCGTACATCTTGGCGATGGAGCTCTGCGTGACCACCTGCGTCGACGACGACGGCATCGTGCTGTAGAAGAGCGACACGATGTCCATCTTGTCCTGGAGGCTGAGCCTGCTCTTGTTCCTGCAGGAGAGCTTGTGGCGCTGCTTCCTGTCTTGGGTCCACTTGTCGGACTTCTTTGGGCGCTGGGTAGGAGGGGGAGGGACGGGAGGCGAGAAAGTCCGGGCCATGGAGCACACCAGACAGTCGTCATCGCAGGAGCCACAGTTGGCGCATGTGCTCATGTTGATCGCGGTTGTGATGGTACGAGAATTCCATCGTGCACTGATATAAAGGGGGGGGCAAGAGGTACAGTATCGATAAGTGGTATCTCAGGATCAAAATAAAACTTTAAAAGGAAACACTTAAAATGCTTGCCCGTCAACTTCAAAAAAGAAACTTGAGGCCCAAACCGTTCCTCGAACCTGAGCCAAGGTAATTTGAAGTTTGCTCGGGATATTTGAGATTTTGAAAGAGCAACCTGAGATTTGACTTGCCCTTGGTCAACAAAAAAAGAAATGGTCAAAGTTAGGTAGTAAAGTTGATAACTCTTGGTGGTAAAAAAGTCCAAAATTCGCATTCCTTCCCCAGCAGCCGTACCTTCCTTGCCCCCCTCCCGCCCCCCTCCTCCTACTCGCTCATCCTCGCAGGCTCTCTTCCTCGTTCTCCTCTTCTGCCCACCATCTGAGTCGACCAGACCACCCGGCGTGCCTGGTATCAAGCCTTATTAGCATCCCCGATAAATTTATTTGTTTTGACTTGTAAGCGATAAGCTGTATCTGAATACAGAAGACAAGTGAACGAGTGTCTAGTTGGCAAATTCCTGTTTCGTGTCTTGGAGATACGATGTTCACATTACAACTTGGTGACCCTCATCTCATTTATCAATGAGTTGTCCATTACCATCGATGAATGGATATTTCGTTTCCTCCTGTTCTTCACCTGAATTTTTCACGAGGAAAGGAAGACGCAAAAACTTGACTCATCCCCAGTCCTTACGATGCCGAGCCCTTGACATTCAATTGACATGCCCCCTCATCATTATCATTTACATGCGACTTATATCATTTCTGCATGACCTTCCTTTAATGTCCTCTGTGCTCCACAATTCCAAGTTTCACTCAATTCCTTCATGCCATCTGATCCAAGCAGGCAAGTCCCATCCCACCTAGACCACGACTAAAGCTCATTTAACTCACAAGCCTCGTATCCAAACCATCCAACCCTATGCATTCAGCATGGTATCTCTCCCCGGCTCGTCATATTGTTTCTCAACCTTCACAGACAACATGCTTTTAATTACAAACACGCGTATACATGTACACGCTCTCCTTCCCTCTACTCGCTCATCCTCTTCGCTTCCTCCTCCTCCCTACTCGCCCTACAGCCCCTCACTCTCATCTACATTCCCCCATGTAGCCCTACAAATCGCTCCTCCCGCTGTCGCAAAGCTCATACGCCTCCGTGTAAGCCCGTGTAGTAGACTCCTCCGCCCCCTCCTCCTTCTTCACCCTTGGCATCTCCGCCTCCCGCAAGGCCTCAGCCTCTGACCATCGCTCTCTCCCCATGACCCCAGCAGGCAGCCCCTGCCCGGCCATGACCACCTTGCGGAGCAAGGCCTCAACCTGCTTCGACTTGAGGACCTTGCAGATGGCGGAGCGGCTCTTCCCGTACATCTTGGCGATGGAGCTCTGCGTGACCACCTGCGTCGACGACGACGGCATCGTGCTGTAGAAGAGCGACACGATGTCCATCTTGTCCTGGAGGCTGAGCCTGCTCTTGTTCCTGCAGGAGAGCTTGTGGCGCTGCTTCCTGTCTTGGGTCCACTTGTCGGACTTCTTTGGGCGCTGGGTAGGAGGGGGAGGGACGGGAGGCGAGAAAGTCCGGGTCATGGAGCACACCAGACAGTCGTCATCGCAGGAGCAGAGATCGTAGCTTGCGAGCATGCTGCGTTCGTTGTGATGGTGAGAGAAACTTCTGTTGCGCACTGACTTATAAGGCGGTCTCGTCGGTTATCTTCAAAAAAAATACATGTCCGATGTAGTAAAATAGGTACAGTGCTCTGCAGAAACCTGACGATTAAGATTTTCTTTTTTCAAGTTGATTCCTCGCGCAACTTATCCGCTGTCATGCAGCCTTCAACTTACCAGCGGCCCGGACTTGAAGGGAGAGGCTGGGCTTAACATGGCAACTGACGCCTTACTACTTCTTTGAAAGTTACTCAAACTTCCCGGAGTCCGTTAAGTTGAAAATCAGTGACGGTACCGGCGAGGACAATCACTCGGAGAGTAGGGGAAGCCAAAGTTTTTAGTGACGGTCCGCGGCCCGCCGCCAGGCGCGCCGGCCCCCTCGCCGCTTTACCGTACCGTACCGTCTGAGACTCGGTGCGACCCGACGGCGCGCCGGCGGAGTACCGGGTACTGGTACCGTACTCCGACGGCCCGCTGACCGCCCCCGGGCCACCCGGTGACCGCGGCGATGATCCGAGCCTCCGACTGACAGTCAGGTCCTTCCGAGTCGCCGCAGTGAGTCACCCGGCCGGGGCCCGGGCCTTCCAGCCACGGTGGGCCCAGTGGCGGGCCGGCCTCCGCGGCCGCGGCGCCCCGGGCCCGGCGGCCCGGCCCGGGCCGCCCGGCGGGCGCGTACCGTACGGTGAGCGCCGAGCCTCCTGACAGTTGTGACGCCGCTGCCGTTCAATCACTGTTATCCGGCGCGGCGCCGATCATGATCCGTGGCCCGGCATGGCGGCGGCGGCACGGTCCGAGTCACTGTGTCAGGCCACCGGGTGACGGTTTCGATGAAACGGTCATAACGGCCATATCGGTTCTACCAACTTCCGCGGATCCCTCCATTGCGGCGCCAGTCATGTCGGGGAAAGCGCTGCTGCAGGCTGCCGAGGCCGGGAACGTGGAGGCAGCCAGGAGAGCCCTCGAAGCTTCCTGCTCCGTGAACTTCAAGTATGTCATAGGAGAGAGCGCAAGCGAGGGCTGGATGAATGCTGTGGTGATACCGGTGGGATGGAAGTGGGATGCATGGTTTCAGAGGGATGATAACAAGGGAGTTGATGAGGGTTGAGTTGTTCTTCGCAGGGACGATGGTTGCAATACAGCATTGCATCTAGCAGCTTACAGGTCTTCGATCCGTTTGCTGTTGCTTTCGCTGGGATACATGCTCTCGCAGGGGGCGGACAGAAGTGGCCAAGTTGCTGCTGGAGCATAAGGCGGACATCGCCATGGGCAATGAGAACAAGGTCCTAGGTTGTGATCGAGAGACTGAGCGACTCACGCTGCTTGATAGGACCTCCCCATCCATCTTGCCTCTCTTGCAAACAAGATGGAAGTCCTGAAGGTAGACTGTAGGTGTAGTAAGAGTAGAGGTTTACGATTGGCAGTTGCTCGTTGCGTCCAAGAGCGACATAGAAGTCCGCGATGCTCAAGGGTACTCTTCAAATTGTTTCTTCAAGTGTTCGCCTGCAGTCTGCTGATTGTGGGCGAAATGAAAGATATTATCCGCTGCACTATGCCTGTGGTGAAGGGCATGTGGAAATCACCAAATTTCTGATTGAAGATTGCGGTGAGAGATCTCGAGAAAGCAAAGTTGTGGTCGTTTATGTGATGAAAGATCTTTAACCATTCAGGAGCATCGACGATCTGTCGAAATTTCGACGGATTGACGCCATTGATGTGCGCTGTACAAGAGGCAACACCGGAGGGACTTCAGGGTAGACGACACTAATGCACATGCAGAACCACATTAGAGTTGCAGAGCTGCTACTCAAGAAGAATCCAGGTGAAGTTCATACCCTCTGGTGCTCGTTCTGAGCTGGGCTCAGAATCCGTTGCCTTGCAAAACACAAGCTCTGACTCGGCCTTGCACTATGCAATCATCTCGTCGGTAATGGGATTGTATCCTTTCTTTACAGCGATTTCTGAGTTTTTGTTTCCACTGGCAGAAACAAGTCAACATGGTCGAGCTGCTCCTCCGCAATGGAGCTGATCCTTTCCACAAGAATGTTGATGGCCGGACACCGTTAAGCGATGTTGTGTTTTGCTCGTTTTCAACCACAAGTTTGACATACACCTGTAGGCTCCGCAGAACACCGACCCAGCGATCTGCACGATCCTGAAGAAAGCGATGGCTGGTGAAGAGAGTGGAGGTTATGCGGTGAAGGCTGACACGTTTCAGGGCTACAACTTCTGGACAAGACGAATTTAGACATCAAGGCTCGTGCCCAGGTCGTGGAAGTCGGGACAAGCCTGTGAGGGGAGTGGTGACTTTCTTTCAGCTCATGAACGAGATCCTTGACCAAGAGCAGATGATGTCTGCTGTGGCGGAAGACTCCAACGTGCCAAGTGAGTCCGTCTTACATGCGATTCACCGGCTCTGACCGACGACTGCAGAGAGCGCCAGTACACGAACAAAATCTCGCTTCAGGTTTGATCGTGCAGGCTTCTCAGGTGCAATGTTGACTTGCGCTCGTGTAGTTCTTCCTTGGCGGGTATCCGCTGCAAGACAAGCATCGAGTTGGCCAAGGAAGAGAGACAGGCACGGGGCTCCTCCTCCTCCCCCTCCTCCCCCTCCCTCCTCCACCACTTCGTCCTCCTCCTCCTCCTCCTCCTCCTCGTCCTCCCCCTGCTCCTGCTCTTCGTCCTCCTCTTCGACCTCCTCCTCCTCCTGCCCCTCTTGCCCCTCCTGCGCCTCCTCCTCCTGCCCCTCCTCTCCTTCTCCTCCTCCTCCATCTCACTGGTTGATTCTCCTTCCCAGAGCACAACCAGTGAGAGTACAGCGGCAGCCAAACCCAAGGCTAAGTCAAGAATCTTTCAGCCAGGTACGGCAAGTCCTTGAAACCTCGTCATCCATCAACAGTCGTCGGAGCCGGGCTGACCTGCCATCAGGCTCCTCCTCTGCTTTCGGATCTCTGTGACGGCTGCGAGCTACTCAGTCTCCGAGTATAGTCACAGTTCAGGAGCCGTTGGGCTTCCTCATGCGATCAGGCTGGACTTTGGGACCTTAACACGACGATCTCTCGACTGGCGCCATTTCGCCAGTGAAAGTTTCAGTTTCCAAGTTCAGTTTGAGTAACTCGGTCTGTCAAGTTGCGAACGTGCAGTGCAACTTCGACCGTCTCGTGACAGCGTCCGCCGGATCACTGCCTCAAGGCGTGGGACTGTGGGCAAAGCCTGCAGCGCCTGGGCTCCGGCGCCGGAGCCTGACGCCGGGTCGTCTGGGGGTCACCTTAGGATTCGATCGGGCCGGGCAGTTTTTTCAGTGTTTCCATCAGTCATGCCACTTGAAAGTGACCGACGGTCCGTCGGACTCACTGTCACTGACTCTGTGAGTCATGACTGAGATGCTCTTCCCGTAAGTTCCGACGTGACTCGAAGGTAAATTGAAAATCAGTACGAGTCATGAACGGTGCCCGAGTCTGCTTATTTCCTCTACGCGCGCTTCCAAGTCCGATGATGAACGTGCCTCTACTTCCGAGTCACAAGATTTCCTCTACCGGCGCGCGCTTCTTTGAGGGTCCGAGCAGGACTCGGTGACAAGTATAAGGCCCTTATCAATCATTAGTAAGTTTGCCCCGGAGGCAAAGGCGACTCCCGCCGCCGGGCATCATAGAGTCGAGTCACTGGCCGGGGGCAGGCCTGGCGGCGCCCGGCCGTCACACCCGGGCCCGGGTCCGATCACCGGGGTGCCGCTGAGTAAACTTGGCTCGGAACCCTCCAGTACTAGCCTAGAGCCAACTTCGTTTGAGGACCGGAAGGTACTTGGGCAGCTTTATATTCAGGCATGCTAGAATTCTAAAGTTAAATTTCAAATAAAGAAAATGAATATTTTCGATGGCAGTGAAGTTGGCTAGGACCCTACCCCACCGTTTATCTTGTTCTATTTCGGGCAAAGGCCCTACGATACCGCCACCTACTGCCATGCTGCTGACTGAGAGCCTCGTTCGACCTGTTGAGCGCAATGCTCGCTCCGGCAAGGTATGCAGCGAGTGATCGCGATTGTGGGAAGATAGAAGTGCTGCCTTTGTGACAAACTCTGCCGATGTTGATGATGATTCACTGAGAGGTGGAGCTCACCCGGGAATAAGAGAACATGCGCGGGGGAGAAAGATGATGTAGGCAGAGGGGACGATGACAGCGATTTATGAGGAGCGCGAGTGAGATGTAAGGGAAGGAAGAGGAAACGGTAAGGGATTGAGCTCGAGTGCACAGCTGGAGTTGAGCATTCACTGTGCGCCTTCCATTTTTGCCCTATCGTCCTCAGCTAGACTAGAAGCTTTGATATCTCAACATGTATTATCTTTCATCACTCAGTAAGATGTGAAATGCACCAGATCACAACATTGTCTTCAGTTAGACTTCTCCACATATCACCGATGTCCTTGATGAATCAAGGCGGAGAACCTAGATATTCAGTCTTGCTTATTCATTATGCATGTGTTTTGTACGATCCCGTCATCTCCTCCGGACTAAACTGAACCACGTCTTGGATGTCACTGATGTTTATCTGGCAGCAAATCGCAGCTGCCGTCTCCGTCATCCTGCTCGCAGTCTGCACTTTGGCATTCGTGGTTACAAATCAGTCCAGCGACAACTCGGAGGAGCTTTTGAACGTTCCTCTCACCAACAAGCAGAGAGGAATCTTGAAGAGCGTCAGATCTCAGAAGCTCACCCTCGGCCCTGGTATGGAGAACGCCGACGACCGTGCCATCAAGGTGGGAGGGAGATGAAGGAGGAGGATCCGCGAGCACCTGATTGTCATCCAACGACAGGTTGCGTTTGCCACCTTCAAGGACAGCAAGGACGATACTGTGAAGAAGACCTTGACTTTTGATCCTAAGGTCGAGGAGGAGGAGGTAACGTCGCGCGAGAGGCTGGCCGATGTCGTCGGTGACAACAGATGCAGGTCCAGGAAGCGATGGCTGATATGAAGACAATCACCGGTGAAGTCAAGGTGAGGGATTATTTGTTCAACGGTCGTCTCGAGATCTCGCGCTCCTGACTGTTTGTTGGTCTTTCAGAACGAAGCCAAGATCCTCAAGGACCTGACCAAGCCCGACAAGAAGAAGAAGAAGTAGAACGCTCAGCTGTACGTCATCCTAAGGTTACTTCATGGACACCATCAGACTCCTTATCTCCATCAGTAGCACAAACCGTTAATCTCATCAACGATCATTAAATCATTTGACTCTTCTCTGTTTCTTCCGCGGGTGCTCCAGTCAGTCCTTGAATCATGAATCATTTTTAATTGCTGCCAGCATGAGCTCAACTCACGTGACTCGGAACGCCGGTTCCTCGTCTTCCTTGTGACTCGTCGATGCTGGTCTGGAAAGAATCGGATCCTAGTTGTGGGGGCGGGGACTCTTTTTTTCCTTTTACAGAAAAGAAAAAAAAAGAGTCAAAGAAAAAGAAAAAAAAGAGTCAAACTCTGGCGCCGCTTTTTTCTCCGTCATCTTTCGAACTCCCGCCATGGGCAGGCTCGACGGGGCTCCGCGCGCCTTCCGTCTCCCTCCTCTGGACCTCGCGTTGAACCCCGTGGTAAGATCTCCTCCTCCCTCCCCCGCCTCTCGTCGCCTCCTCGTCCTCGGAAGTTCTTTCCCTTTGTTAACTACACTTCACTTCCTCCCTCACTCCTCTCCCGCTCTTTGCTCTCGAGTGGACCTTGTCCACGAGCTCCTGCCCTCGATCGGCTCAGACGCTCCCTCTGTAGCTTGTGCTCGAGCATAGCTGGTCTAGTTAGTCTGTTTCCGTCGGATCTATCACTGGAGGTAGGAAGGATTGACTCTTGGTTCAGGTCGCGTTCTTTGCGTTTGGGATCATTTGGGCTTTCATAGTGGCGTGTATCGCGGTTCCTGTTGAGTTTTCGGGACAGATATGGTAAGGAGATGAGAGGAGGGATGAGACGAATGGAAAGGAAGCGAGGAAGAAGAGCGATAGCAGGAGGAGGGGAGATAGAGAGGTTTGGTTGAGTTTGACCTGGCTGCTAGGTGGTGGAAGCGTCAGATTCTGTCGACTTTCCTATGGCTCTATTACCTCTGCGAGAACGTGGGAGCTCAACGGGCTTCCTCTCCGTGTGAGTGAGCTTGTCGCAGGTATGGGTCATTTTCATTATATGGCTGTGCTACTCGCGGTGGGGCACTTTCACACTCGGGGAGAGCCAGAGGGACACAAGACCTGAGTACTCGGACATCTCCTGGTTCCTGATGATGGTAGTCCTCCATGAGCCATTGCTCAGTCGTGACGTAAGATGCAGTTCTCCACGGGTATGGGAATAGCTCTTTTCATGTTCGGAGCTTCAGAGCCGATCTACCACTTAGAACAGTCCGTGAGATATACCGCCATGGTGAGACGAGCACGACAATGACTCTCCTCCTCCCTCCCTCAAGTCGTCTGAGCTCATCTCCAATGTTCATGCCGACTCGCCGCGTTGCTTTCTATCACATCCTCAACGTGTTGTATGGAATTTTCTCTCCACCTGATTCAATTTGCCATCTTTGAATGTGCATAGCAAGGGCTGTATCGACGAGAACTGAAACCTCTTGCAGGGCCAGTCTTTCATGTCGTACAACCTTGCATCGAAAGAAGTAACGCTGAAAGGGGGAGTTTGCCCTCTGACTGCTTTACAGGCTCTGATGCTATCCTACTTCCATTTCGGCATTCATGCTTGGGTCCCTTTTGCACTCGTGGGGATCGCTCTTGCGATTGCCAGATACAGGCATATGGCTTTCCTCTGCCTCCTCCTCCCTTGTCCTGCCTCTACTTCTTCCTCTCCCTCCTCCTCCCTTGTCCTGCCTCTACTTTCTCCTCTCCCTCCTCCTCCCTTGTCGTGCCTCTACTTTCTCCTCTGCCTGCTCCTCCCTTGTCCTGCCTCTACTTCTTCCTCTCCCTCCTCCTCCCTTGTCCTGCCTCTACTTTCTCCTCTGCCTGCTCCTCCCTTGTCGTGCCTCTACTTTCTCCTCTGCCTGCTCCTCCCTTGTCGTGCCTCTACTTTCTCCTCTGCCTGCTCCTCCCTTGTCGTGCCTCTGCTTCCTCCTCTGCCTGCTCCTCCCTTGTCGTGCCTCTGCTTTCTCCTCTGCCTGCTCCTCCCTTGTCGTGCCTCTACTTTCTCCTCTGCCTGCTCCTCCCTTGTCGTGCCTCTACTTTCTCCTCTGCCTGCTCCTCCCTTGTCGTGCCTCTGCTTCCTCCCCTGTCGTCTCCTTCGTGCTCACAGAGCTCGCTCACTGTTTTTCAAGATTTGGTCTCCCGCTCGCCATGCGATCAGCCTTCTACCCCATCGTCAAGGATTACATCTACGGGTGGTTGGGAGATTTCATTGACATCCTTTCCGCTCTTGTCTCCTTTGTCGGTAAGTCTCAAAGGCAACGTCATCATTGATGCTACCAAAACATTATCATCGTCTAATCTCTATCGTCACCGTTATCATCATCATCATCATCATCATCATCATCATCATCATCATCATCTTCATAATCATCATCATCATAATCACCATCATCATCATCATCATCATCATCATCATCATCATCATCATCATCATCATCATCATTATCACAATCATTATCACAATCATCATCATAATCATCACTCCATCATCATGTCCATAATTTTCAAATCAAGTTTTATCATTTCCATCGTGATAATCAAACAATGCTTGATTCTTTCTACATGTGTTCTTCACCCGTGGGACATCCAGATTGAATTTCTTATTTTTGTCTGTGACCGCAGGAGTCAGCACTTTGGTTGGCTTTGCGGCCATTCAGGTTGCAGCAGGAATCAACTATGAAAACGGGTGATTGAACTCCAGTGTCAAACGCATTTATACCTCAGACGTGTGTTTCAACAAATGTGATTGTATCAGATCCCATGATCGAATTAGTGATGTTTTCGAACAAGATATCATTGTTTGTCTCCTTCGATCCTGACTTTGAGCAGAAAATTCCGTACATCGGAATTGATGGAAAGGAGATTCAGAATTACAAGACCCTGGTAACCAGAGCACGAACTTGCCAGAAAGACGATGATCGCATTGCAGATGGTCATTATCTGGGCCCCTTGCTTCCTCGCTGTCTTGTCACTGTCTGGGGTCATCGGAGGGTCGAGGTATCTCACTCACCTGGCTGTGGTACGTGTCCTGCGGTCGTTCCCTTGGATGTGACTCTGAGTGTTCCAGGTGATCGCTTCCTTCCTGGCGCTCACTGTTCTCTTCTTGGACGATACCTGGTCACAATTCTCCTCCTCCTACTGCACCTCCTCCTCCTCCTCCTCCTCCTACTGCACCTGCTCCTGCTCCTGCTCCTCATGCTCCTGCTCCTCCTCGTGCTCCTGCTCTTCCTCCTTCCTCATACTTGGATGGCCTGAACACCTGTCCTTTTGTTTCTTCCTCTTCCTCCTCTTGCCTCTGCTCCTCCGTTTTCTCTTTCCTTCTTTCTCTATCATCACCCTTCTCCTCCTCCTCCTCCTCCTCCTCCTCCTCCTCCTCCTCCTCCCCCCCTGGCCTGTCCCTCTATCCCAATGAACTAGTTTCTGCATCATCAGGTACATCATGAACCTAATGGT